AGGGGAAGGATTGGACGTTTTGATGTTTTTGGAGGTGGAATTCTCTGATAGAGGAAACGTTTTTTTGGATCTTCGATCCTTTTTGTGATCCAAATCCCAAATATTTCACACAGAAGACGCGAAGTGCACTTCGCTGTTTGAGTGCAGTTTGAAGAGCAAAAGCTTTTCGAAATACCTTGAGATCGAAAAGGTGTTTCTCGAATGATTCTGCACACGACTAATTCGTCCAGATAGTGAGGATTAGGATGTCCTCAAGTCCATTGCAAAATGTCTATCACTCCGGAATGGTTGCGGGGGATTCTGAGACCAAAGGGCAAAGAAGAAACGATATGTTCCAAGGTACACAAAATACTTGTCTTGATCATCAGATGAACCTTCTTGGTGATAACCTGCCGAAGATCAGGGTCGACATGAAAGGGTTTTTCCGTTGTAACAGGCCATCCATTCTCGAGTGGGTAGGAATCTGGAACTAATCGTCAGTTTCCGGTAATCTATGCAGAGGTGGTACTGTTTAGGTTTCGGATTAAAACACTGGGGCGTATAAGGGGATTCAATTCTTCAGTTATCTTCCTTCATAAGAGCTTGTCAATTTCTGCTTTACCCTTTGACGTGCTGTGGTCGTGCCTTGAACCACCATTTTCTAATTTTTTCTCCTCTTTTTTCAAAATTGTGAGTGAAAATTATTATTAGATTTTTTACCTCTAAAACACAAAATGACTGCAGAATCATACATGTTTTTAGTATTAAACTCAAAATCGGATGCCTTTTAAATTTTTTCATGAGACAAATAAATTTGTTTAATTAAACAGCTTTAAATTCAAAAGTTGGTCTCGCACATCATGATTTCTATCATAAACAATAAAAAATTGCAATTAAACTATATATAAAAAAACCCCATCTATGGCGTTGTTTGTGGTTTCAGGCCACTAGAGCATTTTACACATGCTCACAAACCTCTAGGGCTCGGGTCGCGCACCTTGAAACCACTGGTTGTTGCTTGCTTTTGAATTAATAATGTATTTTACGGATATAGATAAGGGTTTGAAACGCGATTATTTTATTCTAAACAAACACATCACTTGCTCAGTGAAGAGGCCTTTCTTTTCCAGAGAATAAAAATTAATTATTAATTAAATTCTGACTCAACACACTGCTCCCAAGTAGTATGTGATTTATCAATTTTTCCTGTGGTTTAAATTTAATGTAAATATTTTGCTATAATAAAAATAGAATTACGTAAAGTTTTAGTTAATTAATTTTCTGAATATTTTGGGACGAATACGATAAAATAGTATGATGGGAACGAACGATCCGTAGAAAGCCAAAAAGACCCCCCCCCCCCCATTACAAAAAACACAATTTCATGTGCCGATGAAAAAACGAAATAACGCGGACATATACCAGTGAAATTTAAATCCAGGCATAGGTACATTTGAGCACAAGGAAGAAGACCCATAGAACAAGATACATGCGCAAAATGGCAATGTGAGTATGCATGTACCAAAAGACAAACTGCTTGAAGTGTCACAAAAATTTGTTCTTTGAAATTAAAAAAAAAAAAAAAAAAAAAAATGAGTTTTTTAACCTATTTTATTGAGTTTTTTTAATCATTTATCCAATGTCTTATTAGGTTACTTATATTTTCAATGCGTTAAAACTTAAAAATGTTTTTTTTTTTAAATTTTTTTGACGATATTCCTTTGTAAAATAACGTAAAAAAATATATATATAATGCAAATCTTACATATATTTTTTGAAAAATCCGTAAATTTCATCAATTATTGGAAACACGCGCGGAAAATGGTAAGTTCCCCCCCCCTACTACCTCAGTAAGTTTCAAAGTTCTAGACGTGCGGTGGTTTCACAGTGCGACCACCACCCATAAAAACAATCGGCAAGAGTAGTTTTTTCTTTATTCATATATTATTTGTCATAATATTAAATTTCTAGAGTTTATTTAAAAACAATATAAAAGATATATCGCAAAGTTAAAGAAGATTTCATTTTAGCAGGGTGATTCCATGGGGTGAGCTACGGGGGATGTTTCCAGTTTAATTTCGATGTTCTATAAAAGGTGTTGCTGACTTGGAGATAGTTGAATATTGATCAATAGCTAATTTAATGGTGATTTGATGTGATGTTGTCTATAGATGTGTCACTTCAATTCCCTTTTCCTTTTTGGTTTTGATCTTGGGTTTAGAATCATCATCAGTAAACTAAACTTTGTTGAGCATTATCATGGTAAAACCACCAGGATTTTGGATCTAAAAACAATTCTAAGAAAATCGATCTGAAAGTCTCCGTGTGCTGAGGAATCGCAAATAAGTTATGCGAAAGATTTCCTTCAATGTAAATGTCTACCTGATCATGGACATTTTATCCTTTGGCATACAGTCGGCAGAGTGACCTTAATAGTAGTTTCCTTGTATCCTGTACTTTCATATGTTTTCTCCGCTATAGTGTGATTAGCGCCATTATCAGCACAGACAATTCCCGTAAATCTTTGATTTTTACTCTAAAAGAGTGTGTGAGGTTCTCTACAGACATGTATGTAAGTTTATTGTTTGAAGTCAGCTGAACTCTTTTTTCCACACCAAGGAAGAGAGTTGGAGGGTTTATCACCTTAATGACACCGATTTTCCACGCCAGTAACAACTAGACTAGTTTGTCGAGCGGACCGTCTTTAATTTGTCTGATATCATCAAATTCTTTAACGTCTCTCAAAGTAACTGACTTTTTAATTCGCCAATCCAGCCATCAAAGAAATTTCTCAAATCGAAGTAAAAATCTTGCCAAGTACTATCAGGACTTTTGCGATGTTGCAAAATTAACTGTTGAAACTTTTCAGCACTCAATTTAAAATGTTTTAAGATAATTTATTTAATGTTGTCATAATCTTGTGCATCACCAGCAGATTTCTTTGCAATCAGTTTTGCAATGTCATTAGGTAACAAACTTAAGAGATACACTACCCATTTCCCTTGAGGTATGTTCAGAATTGTTAGTTGCCTTTCAAATAAAGTGAGAAAAAGGCTCATTTCATCACTTTTTGGATTAAAGTGAGGAATTAAAGTTTCTAATTGTAACTTAGGGATATCCATGTCGGTGGGTTTCAAAGCAGGTATGCAATCATGACTAGTACCCAAACTAGCTACTTGTATTTTCAATTTCTCAAGCTCGTGCTTGCGTTCTCCTATCTCTTTCCTTTCATTATATTCACGTTCCTTATGCTGTTTTCTTTCATTAAATTCACGTTCCTCTATTTCTTTTCGTTCTGCAATAATGCTAAAAAATAGATATTTAGTGAACTCTTCATTTTATCCCTTACTCATTAAAATGCCATCCTTAATATCAACTATTGTCATTTGTTCCGTAACATTCACACCAAGTTCATTTGCTAGAACACACATATCTTGTTTACGTCCTTTAGCAAAAAACGATGTGTTTCACTTAAAATAAATTCTTTGATGAAAAAACAATTTATTATGGCACTAACTAGAAAGTTGTAATGAGGTCACCTTACCCAGAAAAGATTTGTTTTCATTTTACTATAGAATAGCACTAGTTAGTTGTATCAAAAGTAACACAGTGTCAAAATAATATATAAAAACACTCTCTTTCTTAAAAGAAAACATTTTACAGGGCTTAGAAATAGTACAGTTTAAATAACATCAATAAAATCCTTTTCTGGTAATTATTTCTATTCTCAAAGGACAAAATAAAGCATTCAGGGATAGCAATACACTTAAGAAACTAAAAGAATTGCGCACATCTGAAACGTATATCAAACATTATAAAAAAAATAACATCTTGCCAGGAAGAATCTTATGCTTCTTTAAATCATCAAATATAAACAATTTTCAGCAATGTAAAATGCAATATGGAAATGCAAGAAAAAATATCAATAAATAAAACCGTTATGGGGGGCAACAGGGTAATAAACATGTCATTGAGCCACTGGTTCGTCAAGTTAAGCTCAAATCGAAACTAAGTTTATAAGTTGAATACATTCAGCATATTATAATAACAATTTCTAATACAGAATTTTACTCTTAAAATGGCCTCGCTTTGAATATATTACACCTTTTTATGTTTTATCACACTTTTACCATTTTGAAACAAAACTGAATATTATGATTATGCAGTTCTAGAGCACTCGTGTAAACAAAATGAAAGAATTTCTTAATCACTTCAAAATGATACAATATTCATAAAAGATACACATATATACTTTAAGAACACAGTAAAGTATTTTTACGTTTTCATATTTAAGTATTTTCATCATTAAGGGTTAACACATTATAGAACATTAGTGTTTAAATGCAAAACAACTCATATCATTAATGACAACTATTTGTTGCGGATAGGCCTTCGGAGTGGCACGCACACAAAAAAAGTTCATACCTGACAGGCAAGGTATCTTTCTTTGTAAAGTTTTAGGATTTAGATACAGCGGGTGTGGCTGCAAGTACTGTTTCTGAAAAAGAAAGTGAGCAAAAGCCAGGGAAAAATTCTTAAAGCTAAACATTAATGTTGGGCACCACTTTTTGAAGGGGGTTATTTTAGATAGGGTCATAGAAGAGTCCTGTATAGTGTAACAAGTATTTATTAGCCAGTTTAAGTTACACACGGCTATTACATTTAACTTTAAGAAAATTACAGAACAAGAGTCTGATGCAACCTATCAAGTTAGACGCTTGGCTTTTACTGAAGTACTTCTCTGGCTACTCACCAGAGGGTAGCCTTGTTGTCACAGTTAGTCCAACAGTTTATGTTAAGGGATTGGTTACAACTGTGGTTTTCATCTCGTTTTTCAACAATTTTGTAATTATTTAAAAGCTATTAAAGTTACAGTGTAAATTTGATATGAATATGTTAAATTAGCTAAAAATTTCTTAAAGTATCTTAAATAACTTTTTTACCCACAAAGTTTGGCAGAAATAACTACGAAAATAATTTAAAATGGCAAATTTTATGACTTAAATTGTTTTCTATTTTAGGATATTATCTCTGAAGCTCAAAAGTGCATTGAAACAAAAAGTATGATAGGATATTACATGACATCTACTCAGAATAAGAAAGATGAACTCTTAAAGGTATTTTTTTTATAGTCATATGTATTTATATGTACACACGGAAATATCCCCAAAACTGGTATAGATGCGATTTTGTAAAATATATAGCAATGTTTTATATACACGCCACTAATTATGATTGACAGGGCGACATATAAAGTGGCAGATATTTCTGGAACCTTCTTGAACTGTATTGGGTATTAGAATGGCAAGTTATGTGGGTCTAAGGGATTTTTAGAGTGATTTAGTTTGAGCTACTGAGACAGATAATATTTCAGGAGGGAACAAAGTTTAGATGCTCATATACAAGCATTGTGAGAGTGTATCATGGCTATTAGAATTCCAGTAAAACTTTTAATTTATGACAGCAATATGGCTGTAAAGAAAGGAAATTCGAGATGAAAATGATTAGCACTGAGTGGGAAGAATTGTTTTATGTGATAATCATGTACTTATGTTCTAAAATTGCATGTTGGCTGAATGCATGATCTGAAAGCAGCTGATAGGCCAGAATATTCTTTAACAAAATAATGTTCTGGTGCAAAATTAAATATAAAAAATTCTCAAACTAAATTTTATATTTCACTTAATATCTATGAAACCATACATAAACCATTATAACAACAATGTGAAGGAAAAGTTCCAATTTATATTTTATTTTGTATCTGAAATCTGAAAGTTAGTACCTGCAAGAAATATCTTTTTGTTACACTTAGTAACTTAAACTCATTGACAATAGCTAAATATTAAATTTTCAGATTGATAGTTGTTTTGAATTATTCTAATACAATGAAACCTTGGTTTATGAGTTTATTCTGTTCTGTTGTTTGTAAACTGAAATTTTGTAAACCAAAGCAATTTTTCTGATTAAAAATTAATGGGAAAAGGATTAATTTGTTTCTGGATCACAGATGATTGCTTATTTGAACTTTAAGCAGTACATTGTGCCCAGATTCATAAGCCAAAACCAATCTAAATCAGTAAATATAAAACAAGAAAGAAAACACAATATTAAGCAGGTAGAAAAGATGAAAACTTAATTTTACTCTGTACGTGCAAAGAAGAGTGAATAGGATAAATGGGAAGTGCTTTGGATGTAATGTGTTTGGATTCAATATTCCTTTCCTTAACTTCTATAAAAATGTGTTTAGAAGACATTTTTTTTTCCTCCTTTAAGTGCCCTTTCACTCTGCTTGAGAATCCCTGTGGCTCTGTTTCGCTCAAAATTTGTTTGTGTTTTGTTGTTGTATACATTTTTTAATGTTTTTAAAATGAGACATGGCATTGCTATTGGAAATGCGAATGTAATTTACCTTACTACTGCTTTATTAGTGTGATACTGTGATGTGAAACTTTGCGTCTCGTCCTATTTTGCATGTCAAAGGAAAAGGATAATTTTCTTTTTTCTTCCAAAAACATTTCTTCAGTCACTTCCCCCCCCCCCATTTCTGAAGATTTACTTCTTGTTGAGCTCATTCTGATGCTCCTCCAGTAGCTTGTCCACATTTCATTGCTAATTTCCGGTCTGTGGTTTTGGCTAGAAACACAGTATCGTAGATAATAAACAAACAAAAAAAAAAAAAAAAAAAAAAAAAAAAAAAAAAAGAAGGAAGAAGAAAAAGTTTTATGTTTCAAAGCACTGAAAGTCTCTGCCTGCAGCCCAGTCTAGCCATAAATTTGTCCAGGCCAAATTTTTGCTCTTATAATTCATTTGACTCCAGATTTTGTTAAAGAGAGAGCTAAGCAATGAAAAATATTAAAATGTTTCCAGAAGTTCCTGAGTTTTGATTCTGTATCAGAGGTTTTCTCAAACCACCTTTGAAAATCTCATTTCAAAGGTGGTTTGCCGACTTGTATGCATAACTTGAGACACTGTTTGTCATCCAGCTGTTTAAAAAAATTTTTTTTTGTTTATTTTTTATTTTATTATTATATTATGTTCTGTTTGTGAAACAAGGCATTTGTGGTCCAAGTTTTAACTGTATTTTGAATTAACCACTAATTAACTTATTTAAACTAAAAATAAAAACCTTCCCAAGGTTTCAAGAACTTGGGAATTTTTAATAGCAATGAAAATAATCTAAAATTGGACTTCAAATCACTAAAAAAACTTTCTTCAAAATCTTGCATGCTTTTAAGATTTTTCACTTGAAATAATAAAGCAGTATTTAAAATTTAGGAAATGTGTGACATTTTAATATTCCATTTGTGTTTCTCATAATTGCAATGTCATTTTAAAAGCATACATAACAGGGAATGCTTTAAGAATATTAAAATGTCTGGCTAAGTCAACAAGAAATGCTAAATCTGTTATTCTTGTATCATCATGTACCTCTCTGATGGTTTTAGCTTTTTGGGTCATGAAAATTTTGATTTAATATATACACTAATGTTTGTAAAAAATGCAACACCATGAAGGAATTGTCGAAAATGAATTAAATTTTTTCCACACATTATTGATAGTTGTACAAATAAATGATCAAATTTGCAAGATAAAAAAACAAAAAATTCGGAAAACGGTACTTTGTGTGTCCATCACATTGAGCAAAGAGAGTATGTACACACCCAGCCATTGAATCATATAGGTTCTGAATGAAATCCAGTGGAATGGCATTCCATACGGCTTCGACTCGATGCCAGAGTTCAGTCTTAGTGTGTGCTCCAACAGCTGTACGAGTTGCTAACCAACGAAATTCCAGACACATTCAATTAACAGCATATCCATGGAATAACCGAAACCTGTTGTTCCCTAAAAGAGGTTTGCACAGTCTGAGAAGCATGGGCATTATCTTGCTGCTATGCCTGGAATGCATCAAGGAATGGTGAGGACATTTGGCTCCACAATTTCCATTGTGTAGCGATTACTGTTGAGGTAGCCCACAGTCTGCACTAGATGGGATCGGCAATTATTCCAAATAGCTCCACACACCATGATGCCGGGCATTTGTGCAGCATGACGCTGGATAACGCAGTGTCAGAGCATATGTTCCTCTCTATAACGTCTGACACATACTCTTCCATCACTGTACTCCAGACTGTAGCAAGATTCATTGGAGTAAGCAACTTGTTGCCATAGGACACACCACACACTGTGTTGCCATGCCCATCAAAATTGGAGTCATCTGTGATTCAATGACAGGGAAATCCTGCATAGAGGAAGCTTTGCACACAGTTAATGCTGCAACAGATGACGACAAACCATGGAGCTAGAGAACGCAACACCTGTAGCTATGCTCCAATGTTGTGCTAACACGCATGAGGACACTGTACGTTCTGTCACAGTTATGCAGGTGAGGTGTCTGTTGTCCCGTGCCATTGTGGTTGTTCTACTGTGTGCCCCACTGCCAGGATTTTACCTTGTTAGTTACTACAATGTCTATTTCTTCCAAACACAGATCACTGTTGTAGCATTACGCTGCATGTAGGTTGCAATTGCTTGATATGAAAGTCTACTCTCACGCATACCGACGATGCGGCCTCGTTTAAACTATTAGTTGTTGGTATTGCACCCTCCGCTGTTGACGAGGCATATTGACCACTAATTAAACATTCACCACGGACAGATGACAACAAACAGATTTCATTGCAACTTTACAGTCCTTTATGTACATGGAACAAGTGGCTGTTCTCATTCGTCGCATGCACAATTGCTTTGCAATTCTAATTATTAGTACGTCTTGCCTCACTTTACATTTCCTGTAAGTTTGGTTCAATTTGCATAATTCCTTCAAGGTGTTACAATTTTCACAAACATTAGTTTGCAATAAAAAAATAATAAAAAAAAAAAAATAACTTTCCAATCTAAGTGTCTCACTGTGCCATCATGAATAATTTTTTCATACCCATTCATCAATTTTTAAAAGCAATACAGCAAATTTCCAATCATTTAGAGCTCATCTATGGATAAAGTTTACTGTTTTAATTATTACTTTCATAATATTATCTGTCTGTTAACTTTTGAACTAATAATGATACAGTGCAAGGTGTAGTGCAAATAAGAGCACTATAATTTGTACTGTATCATCATTTAGTGAATGAATGATGAACTGCATCATTACTTGCAAATCAAATTTTATCAGGTTGTGCTATTTTTTCAAGTTAGTATATGTGTAATGTTATTACTCTCAAGAGTCACTACCGGGAATGCTGCAAAACAAAATTATTTTTCTTTCAAAATTACTAGTAATTTCATTAATAAGTTTCATTTTCATTTTTGCTTAATTTTTTTTTATTTATCAGCACTTTTCAGCAGACTTAATCAAACATTCTTTAAGGAATTCGCCATCAGTAAATGATTTTGATAATTTTGCAATAATGTTCGCGAGAGAGAAAACTTGCGTGAACTGTTGCTTCAGTAAATTTTTTTTTCAGTAAAAAGTTTTTGTTCTTGCAAGCCGTATTTCAGACTTTTAATGTTTCTTCCCTTAGTTTGCCTCCCAATTATTGAAACTTTTCTTTGATTCAATTTCGTAACGATGACATAGTCTGTATTATTTTTAAATGGGTATTCCCTTATAACAAATAAAACATATGTGCACGACACTATAAATATACATAATTTATTATTTTTAAAAGCATCCTCCTGGATCATTTTTTCTTTACTCTTTATTAAAGGCATGGTTCCTAGTTGAATCTTTTAATTAAAATTGGCTTTGTAACTTTATTTACAAATTTCATTCAGTAAATTGAATTTTTGCATAAAAGCAACTCTAAAAAATTTTGCACAGCTCGCAACATTAGTTGCTGGTATAATAATAACCCCAAGTAGAACAGCAACGTCATAACAACGTTGCAAGCTCGTTGCGGATGTCGTCGCAAAAACGTTGCAATATTTCGTCTTTAAGATGCCTAGATGTCCGCGAACATCCACTGTTTTGCAACCGTTGCAAAGACGTCTTAATTATGTCTTTGCAAATGAGGTTTTTGTCACATAGAAGTCGTTATTGCGTCTTTCTCACGTTATGTTCCTGAGACACGTTATATGTATGTAGACCAGCATACAGTGTTATTAAATTAACAGGAAATGACATGTTGCACAAATGAAATGTGTCATTAGTTTTTCACTTCACTGTATCAATGCCTCACATGCATTATTCAAAGAATCTTCATTTGAAAATTATTTTAGTCATCATACCAAGTGCCCTGCATATCTCATAACTGATCTTCTAGGTGATTATTCTATACATTTCTGAGTGTTTTTGCTTAAATATGTAGTTTACTTCTTTTTTAAATTGACTAAAAATTATTTTAGTCATCATACCAAGTGTCCTGCATATCTCATAACTGATCTACTAGGTGATTATTCTATACATTCCTGAATGTTTTTGCTTAAATATGTAGTTTACTCCTTTTTGCCTGTCAGTTTCTCATCTTAGTGGATCAGTTTTTATATAAATTTTTTAATAAGTAATGCTGTGAAATAAGTTATGAAGTTGAAAAATCGTTTTCATATGTTTTCTGTTATAACATTATACCAACTACTCTGTTTAGTAAGCATTGCAATTTTAATCAGTTAATTGTATTTTTCATGCGTTCTTTCATCTGTTTTTCAATTTGTTGAACATTTTATGAATTGTACCCTTTTTTGTATGCATGCAGAATGATCTCAGATTTAAAAAAAAATTATATCTTAAATTTCCAATTTTATGATGGAAATATTATTTTATTTTATGAGAACCTCAATGTCTATGAGTTTGTGTTGTATTTTATATGTCTCGATGTTTTTTGAGTCACACTAGGAAATATGGTATTTTTGCACAACTTCTTACTGATTTTGATGTTAACTAACTACTGATCATATTCTAAGTTGAGTTTCAACATTATGGTGTTATTTGAAATAACTAGTTGACTATGTCACATATTTAAAGTTAGTTTTTTCCCATTTGCTTGAAATTACTTTAGAAATTAATGTATAAATGCGTTATTTTTAGGTCCAAGACAGTTATCATAAAGCACTTTTAAATATTCAGCATCTTGTTAAAATGCTTCCATCCAGTAAAATCATAACAGAAGAGCAAATGGAATTTAAAGCATCTTTGGAAGAACTCATGCTTCATTTGAAACAAACGCTGGCCCTTTCTGGTTGTCAGCAGCATGATTTATTGTTAAAAGTACAAGATCTGTCTGTAAATTTAGGTTAGTTTAGCAAAAGAATTTCTGCTAAATAAACTTAATCTTTAAAGTTTTATTGTGATTCAAATGAAATTAATATTTGTAATAAGATGTTTATGTTGAAAAGGTAGAGTACCTTAATGAAATGATTTCATGTTAAATAAAAAATTGTTACTAATGGTGGTAATTTTATTTCTTTATAGATAAATCATCAAATTTGTGGAAACAGTGTACTGACAGCATAACTTCCAGCTTGGTTACTTTTATTAATAACTATACTCAAGATAGTTGTAATTTAAAACATCTGTTTTTTTCTGAACTTGAACCGATTAATGTTTCACAGAGAGAAATTTTGGATATAATTTTAAGCAAAAAGGTAAGTTGTCAGTTAAGTTACACATTGAAATCATGGTGTTTTTGTTAATTATGCATTAAATGTATGTATGATTTCAGAATGAGAATCTACAGATTATGTCAAATTCAATACACAGAATTCAGCTTTCTTGCAATGCTTCCATTAAAATGCTGACTGAAATGTTATTCTTTTTGAAAGTTGTGCAAACAAGAGTGAAATCCATGGTAGGTAACTAATTATTTGAAAAATCTTCATTGATATTATATTAAATTTCTGCAATTTTTTGTGTTCCTGATATAGAAAAAAAATTTTCTTAGCTCCGATCCTTGGAAACTGAAATTTGCTGTATTTGCAAAGAGTTCAAGAAGTTTCTGACTGATATTTTTTATTCTCTGACTTCAGTACTACATGCTCTTGAAGAAGAGAAAAAGAGTTTTGTGCAGATGGGATCTAACACTGTTTCTCATTATCATCTCAGAGAGGTAAATATCATTTTCTATATTTAGCTCAATATATGCATGTGGAGCTTGCTCACGTACACTGAAACTGTTAATTGAATCAAAATGACAAATTATTTTGTAGACCACGGTCACACTGTGAAAGCAGCAGTACTGTGTACAGAAGCTAGTTTATAGCAAATGACATTGCTTTATAATGAAACATCAACAAGCATATGCTCAAATGCAGTTCATCCAGGACTTAATTTCTAAAATCAGAAGTGATGAGGCCTTACCGAAGGCCATCAGAAACTAAAATAAATAAATATTGTTGCGACTGATCTCGTTTGTCTGATACCAGAAGAGGCCCACGAAAGTCATGGCAACGAGGCAACATTGCACTTGTCATTGGCAAGAGTCATCGGTACCATACAGGTGACAGTATGACCTTCCTCAGTTCTGCCTCCAGTTTTGAAGGCGAGCACCCCAGTGGAATGGGTTCAAGGTATCCCACCCTGCTTCCTGTACCACCAACCTCACGAGAGGACTAATGCTCGCCACATGTTTAGAGTACCTCCATGCCGTGCAGGCACTATACATTTGCAAACATCCATGCCTTCTCCAGGGTTCAAAACCGGGCCCATTGGTATGGCAGTCAGTCAGTAATAATTATCCCAGTTAGGTTTCAAATAAATAAATTAGTAATTAAAATAATCAATAAATAATTAAAATTCAATCAAATATAACAAGGTAAACAAAAGTTTAATAAGTTATAAAATTTCTGATGAATAGTGAAATAAGAAAATGAAATACCAGAACCCATCTTATTTGGGTCTGCAGTTGGAATTAGTTTCATATGAAAAACTAAAATCTCCTGCTGAATTTAAACCCTGAATAGACACTATAATACAGTTTTTCAAAGATTGATGGAAAAAAAGACCCTTTTCCAGCACACCAATGAGAAAAGTTAAAATGGTTAAGGCACCACCGTAAGAGTAGAAGTGAAGTAGAAGGCATGCTAGAAACTGTAACAAAGTATGAAAGGAAATGTTGTTGTTTCACTCTTTTATCCAAAATGGTTTTTTGCCTAATTTTCCTTTCCCTTTTCACTTGCAGAGTAGAATATTTTCACAATTTCCTCTATAGTCCTGTTAGTTCTCATGCCAGATGGGGGAAGAGAAATAAGTTTCGTTTACTTGATTATGGAAAAGCATTCTAGGCTATCTGTTTAATGGGATGGCTGGCTTTGTGGATGACATTCTAAGTGGCATTGGCTTGTAAACACATTACATATGTGGAAAATTATGAAAACCCCTATGCAGCCATGCTGTTCACCTGGAATCAAACTTATGTCAAACTACCAGCGTTCAGCAGAATTTCCACAAGACCACTGTTATGCTCTCTGGAAGAGGGGAAAAGGATGGGAATTTTTCTGTCTGTCCTTTTATTCCTTATCGCTTTAAATTTCCCAACACCTACCTCTATTTTCACATCACTAGCTTATATTAATACAGTTACAGTTATTATTGAGCTATTTTTTATGAATTTTGATTAATCATTAAATTAAAATTTCTTCCTTGCCTTTTTTAATCTTAATTTAGATATATATTTATTTACATATTGTACAAATTTTAAACCATAAATAGGAACAAAAGCATCTACTCCTTATGATAATTAAATAAATATAATAACATTGGTTTCATAAGTTAAACTTAATAAAACAATACTTACTTTCATGCAGTAACAAGGCATTACTTATTTCGCATCTTCTGTCTTTTTAATGTCAATGTGCGGGGCAACATTGCAAGAATGGTTATTTTAGATACTGAAGGGGAAAACCGAAGAATTTAGTTAGTGCAATGTAACATTTTTTTAACACACAAAGGGAAAAAAGTTTATTTTACTAAACAAATACAAAGTCCGAGATCCGGATGTCCAATATCCGGAATAATCTAAAATCCGGACCTCAAAACCATCAACAATCTCCTCTTTTTTTTTTTTTTTTTTTTGTGTGTGTGTGTGTGATATGCTTTATGCATGCGCAATTTGATTCCCCCCGTAATAAAACATGTCGAGAGTCCTGATTCTTAATTTCGCTTTGGCACTAAACACCTTGTTATTGAAGAAACAATAATTTAAATAATTAAACAATAATAATAAATTTGTGTGATCAATGATTTCGCTGCGTATCTGCTTGGCATACATCTCAGACCGAAACATTCCACATAGAAACATCTTTGATTTTACACCTATACTAATATTTTATACCACTGATGCCAACCTGGTGAATCATTTTGCTTTCATCACTGCATGTTTATTAACACATGACAACTTGAGTAATGACTCATGCAGTGATGCCCCAACTATTTTTTTTATATTAGTAATTTAGATGGTAACCTTTTATGGTGACATTACACTTGGCGATGATTACAGATTTAAGTTAAATGCGCTAAGCAATGTTGACGAGAAAAAATTTTGACAAAAATTTCTTTTCATTTGCTAAAAATAGATTTATTAATGATACTCATAGACTAAAAGATTACATTTAATCCTACTTTAATTAAGACTAACTGATTGTTATTCACATAAACACAGAACTGCTGCCAGAGCTCGTATGGCTGCACCAGGTGGCAGAATTTAGGGAAGACAAAATTTTTTTAATTTATAGAAGCACCGAGCAGTGAAATTAAGGGACGAAAATTTTTTTGGAATTTAGGGAAAGTACTGGGATCCGAAATTTAGGGGCAGCAAACATTTAGAATTTAGAGAGGCTCTTGGTAGTAGAATTTAGGACCCGGAGAGACTGCATCAGGCAGTTAGATAACCTAGCGCCAGCCTTCAATAAGCCTTAAGTATATGTTGAAATTAATTTATTCAGAACTCAGGTAACCTTAAGTCATGTGCAAGAAATAGATGCAAGTATAATAAATAACTAAGCTAATACAATTAGGACTTAATTATCTCAGTACACAATAGAAGCAAGACAAAATTTAGTGGTACAACTTGTCTTTCCACACCAGTCGCATGATACATAGACAATAATGTATAGCAGATGCTGTTAAGCTAGGCTAAAATTATACTTTACTTAATGTGGAGAAGCGATAATAAATGAAGATGATATAACATAAGTTTTTCATTGCGATGACAATGCCCCAATCGTTAGTCAGTTAACGGACAGCGATATCTGCAGTATGGTTCTAGATCCAGAAAATGCTGCTGCTGATTCAAAATGAAAAATTTTCGAGTGACATGTTAGTTGGAATTCTCAACACAGCAGTTACAGGACTTGAACAATAGAACTTTGTAACTCAACGAGAAATTATGTCTGTATACTGAATTAAACAAAGTATTAGCCCAAAAAAAGCAACTTAACCCATTAGCCGCTGGTGTTCCGTTGACGCAACAGTCAAAATAAATGAGTATATAAATATAACTACCTAACATATTTTATACCAGTAGATGATTTAGTGTAGGGAATATTATGAAGATTATTTCTGTAAAAAAATTTGCCTTCAACAATCATTTTGTTTATAATAATTAATAGCTCAGCTATTGAGGTAGCAAATCAGTTACTTTCTGCTACTAGAAGCGAATCTTCCGAGAACTGTAGCCACAGTGGTAGTAAGGCAGTGTGAGTGGTACTGTATATAGTCCAGCAAACATACAAGAAAGGAACTGATATCCTACATATATTGTCATGGTATGGGCTGAGATCTTGATCAATGATGATATGCGTTCTATGTGCTTCCACCTGGTACTGTGAATGGCCAGCATATTCTGCAGACCTGAATCCCACTAAAAATGTTTGGGATGCTTTGGGGAGAAGTTTTGCTGGTCGACAATGCCCTCCAGTAAACAAGAACACCCTTGTCCATTCACTGACAGGGAGAAGAGCATAAAGTACCCCAACAGCTGCTGGATAATATTGTGCAAAGCATAATGCAATGTGAGGAATTTTGCATAGCCCTTGATGGTGGTCATATCCGATATTGACATCTTAAACCCTTATCAGATACGATATTTGTTGCCGGAACAAAACGTTTGCAGCAACAGTTCTGAGAAACGCCCTTTGGCGAGATAGGGTTACCATCTTCACTTGGTAAAGAGGCTGAAAGCCAAACAAGAATCGGTTATCGCTCAGATTGGCGAAAGTGACGTTTCCTTTCAAGTGACATTCGCTTCTTCGTGTTGTTTTGTATCACTCACACGCTTTTCGTTTTAATTTTAAACTTTATTGTTTAGTAATGGAAAATAATAGAAAGGTGATTGCTATCAATTTAATCGCTTTGATCTCCACTCTGGCACTTCAAGTAACAGATAAACACACTTCTGGTTATAGTAATCAATTACATCAGTAATAGCCAAATTCTTTATACACTAAGAATAGTTTAAAAACGTGTGCTGGATATCACACATCGCTTATGTGTATTTTCTGTTCTATGACAAAAATCTATATGGCTGATATTGACCTCCTCACAGCCAGCAGATACTATTCAGCAAAATGAAGATCAAATAAAGCATATTAATACATGAGCAATCAAACATGTGCGAGTTGTTTACTGTCCCATAGAACACTCGGTAATATACCTAAAACACATTAATTATACCAACTCTAGAAATTAGGTGTTCACATCATGAGTTTGTTTTATGGTTTGGTTTATTGAGATTACAGCAAAGCACACTAGGGCTATCTGCCTAAGGGAAGGGATGCCTTCGGGGAGGACTTTCTAAGGGAAACTGGCTCGTATACACGTTACACATGGGGAAAACCACGAAAATTTCGGCCACTAATAGGCCCGTGCACTTAATTGGAAAGTACAATTCATTATGTAAACAGATATGGAAGTGATAATCAGTGCACTGTTTTATGCAGTCAAATGTTATAAATGCACAGCTGTTACATTTCTTATTATTTATTAGTCATGTTTATATTACGTAGATCATACATATGATATAATTATAAATTAAACCAATAACAAAATGTGTACACTCTTTAGTACTCAAATGCTGCTCATTTAGTTTTCAACTGATTATTACATATCCATAATAATTTGCAAAGAACTGATGACTACAGTTGCTGCCAATTACATGATCGTTATATGAATTAAAAGTAACTTCAAGTAAACTTTTTCCCAATGTTCATTTTTGTATTCATACATACATATACATACACATCTAATAAGTCATATATTTACGTACAGATAGAGAGATGCGATGGTTTAGAAGTTGTGAATATATATTTATTAGTATTAATGTAATGAATAAGATTTATATTAATGAATGTATATACAAATGTTTTTCATCATGAATAATATTAAATCCATAAATTTCCAATGTTTCAATATGTAGCATTTACAATAAAAGTATAGTTTCTAATGTATTTATAATCCAAAAAGTATTTCATTAATAACATGAAAATAATAGACAAATTTAAGGAGTATTCTCATTATTACATAAGCTATGCTTTTCTTTTTTTATGCTGTTTAAAATGTGTCACTGATTATGCAATTAACAATTTAAAAGATAAGTAATTAGGAGAAAAGCCGCGCATATACAAACTGATTTAAAAAAATTATTCAACTTAAATTTAAGAAATAAAATTCTATTATATAAGTGATAATACACGATCAGCACGAAATACGACAAAGTTGGCGAACTTTTGGCGATGAACAATTTGTAAACAAATCCAAACTGCAAGAACGTCGTAAAATACTGTCAACTCTAAAATTTCCGCGATTATACAGGGTGATTATAATTAAAGTTTAAGTTTCAAAACGCTATAAAAAAGAACCGCTGATGAAAATGATGTGAAATTTGAAAGGAATGTTATTGAAGAAGGCGGAAAGCGTATGGCAGAAGAAAAATTTTAGTTTCAAAAGTTAGCAACAGATGGCTCTGTAAGCGGCAGAATCACGACGAGAAATGATTCGTAAAACAACGGCTAAGGTGGAAGTTACACATTAAAACGCATTGACAAATTAGAACTGTTGAATAATTTTATTTGCATAACTGGACATATCACATCGAAAGGGACAAATCGGTTTCAAGAGTTTTGCTGCGACATACCGCATAAGAACCATTCATCAAAGAAGTTCGGAACTGTTGCAAAACTGGTGCAAAACATGTTCAATATGGTGTCCACCGTTGTGTGCAACAAGTTGAAAGCGACAAACAGCATGTTCCACAACGGATCGCAGTGTCTCCGGGGTGATGTTCAGAATGTGTTGCGAAATGCGTGCCTTTAATTCCGCTAAATTTCCAATTGGAGCACGGAAGACAACATCCTTCAGATATCCCCACAGCCAGAAATCACACAGAGTAAGATCAGGGGATCGGGACGGCCAGGCTGTAGGGAAATGACGGCTTATAATTCGAGCATTTCCGAAATGGCGCCTCAGCAGCTGCTTCACGGGATGTGCAATGTGCGGAGGAGCGCCATCTTGCATAAAAATGATTTCATCCATGCTGTTGCAGAGCTGGAATCACGTGGTTGCGCAAAAGAGACGCATATCTCTGACCAGTGACGGTTGCGGTAACAGGACCGGAAACACCCGTCTGCTCAAAAAAATATGGTTGTAGGATGAATGATGCTGTAAAGCCACGCCATACCGTGACCTTTTCAGGATGAAGTGGTACGGGGTGCATTGACAGTGGATTTCCTGTTGCTCATATTCGATAATTCTGGGTATTCATGTATCCTGTCAGATGGAAATGGGCTTCATTTGTCCACAAAATTTTCCACGGCCATTCATTATCCACTTCCGTGCGAGCCAGGAATTCTAACGCAAACGTCTCCCTAGCTGTCAGGTCAGACGGAAGCAACTCCTGCACATGGCCAATTTTGTACGGATGGCATTGCAGGATGTTTCGTATACAATTTGCAGCACTGTGCTTCGTAGGCCTGTCCAATGTTCGGGCAATTCCTCGTGCATTGCACGGTTGCACACCACCGGCCGACCCCTCCTGTAATGCTGTGGCCACTTCTTCAACTACTGTCGAATGCACTCGTTTTCTCCCTCTACCAGAGTGCACATCAAACGAACCTGTCGTTTCGAATTTTTGCATAATTTTCTTTAGACCTATGACACTCATTGGACCAACGCCTTCTTTTATACCCTTCAGTGTTCTGAAATTTTGCAGAGCTACTCTTGCACAATCATCATTCTTGTAATACAGCTTTACCAGCAGAGCGTGGTCCTGCAGAGAAACACACATGGCGAACATCCGAGACGCGAAATGAGGAACAGCCTGGTACCTGGCAGCTTTATAACACTGAAATTTAACTAACATTTTAATTTACGTCTTCTTCTGCTTGCAGCGCCATTTGTTGCTAACTTTTGAAACTAAATTTTTTTTCTTCTGCCATACGCTTTCCACCTTCTTCAATAACATTCCTTTCAAATTTGATGTCACTTTCATGAGTGATTCTTTTTTTATAGCGTTTTGAAACTTAAATTTTAATTATAATCACCCTGTATATTTAATGAATATATAAACATTTTTAAAATGACGCAGGCAGTTATATTATTACAACAAAACAGCAATAATTAAATCGGCCTCTATTTCCATCGTCCATGACTTCACAGTGAGAGCCACCGCCATATTGAAAGTTACCCGTGATCCTTCAGAAGCAGAACTTTCATCTGATTGGTTGAACATTCAAGGAACACGTCTCCAGCCGGAACATTTTCGGAAAAGTTTTAAAATGTTGCTCGTAGCCGGGACATGTTCCTCCTAGCTAGACGAAACATTTCTCGGAAGCCTGATGCTTAAAGCCGTGCTACTAGAATCTCGTTTCTCAAAATTGTCCCGGGTAAGCGCGCATGTCCATAGAAGTGATAGGGCCATTAGGCTAAAATATCTGCAGACAGTAATTGCTTTTTTTCCACTTTTACGTATTCAGCACAAAATGGCCATTTTGTCTCTTGAACACTTTTCATAGAGTTCTAGATTGCAAACCACAATAAATTATCTTTATTGTTATGTCCTAATATTCTGACATTATTTTTTTTGCTTGGCATCCAAGCCATTTACTTTTTTTATGCACTATATAGCCATTTGTTATCTGTCCTAAGCAATTGCCCTCCAGTGTATTTTCAGGAATTAAAAACCTACTCTTGTAAATACATTGCACTTCATAGAGAAAAAGCATTTGACTTGTGGGTGGCAACTTTTCTAGTCTCTCAATTTGATAATCAAAGGGAATGTTTCTCTGACAAAGACAGACATACATTCAGTTAAAATCTCTTTTTAAAGTAGGCTTAATATTAAAATAAGATTTTCGAGATCAAATGTATTTTCTACTGAAACTGTGCTTCAGTTACTTAAAAGAAGTGCTGGAGCCCTCTTATTTAAGAACTATTTTGTGCTCTGGCTAGAATTTAGATCTATCTCAAAAACTGAGAAGTGCCAGAGCCAGGCTTTGGCACAGTTTAAGTTCTGAGTTCATCGGAGCATGGTAGACTTAAATTTTGGCAGTTAATTAGCCACATAGTGCCCGATTATTAACAAGGTGATACTTAGAATGTGGATGCAGTTTGCACAGGTCTATTGCAGCTGCAGTATGGACATTTTTGAAATGTCATATGGTTTGATAAATCACATTTCTCTCTTATCATATGGTGCAGTGCAGCATATGCAGCTTAAATTTCACCAAGTAATAAATCTTGCATGCCAAACTGGGAACAGCACTGTAATTTCTTTAGCACCTTTTATTTGCTTCATTCCTCAGAGCACTGGTGTCGTAAGACTTCTATCACTAGTTCCAGTTCCACAGATTACTTTGACCCTTTGTTTGCTTTTATTATGTGTTTTGTTCCATGTTCTGTTTTTAAGTAGAAACATGCTATATTTTTTGTGGCTATTTGGGCCAACCAGCTAGAAGTAGGCTGACTTAAAGATACCAGTTAATTCATGACACCTATGTCATACACTATCGTGCTCATTATTAGCCCCACCAAAAAGTTATAGAACATATTGCAAAAAGCTGTTAGTGATCACCTATCTCCAACTTCATGTGCGGCTGCTTTCTGCTGAAGCAGAATATGGATCCTGGAGCAATAACATCCTACTCTGTGTCAGAGAAGACCAACAACTGGCTAAGTGACTGAAGTAATGAAACACTGGTAAATTAATTTTGGTATCTATTTCTAATTGTTTAATGGGCCACCTTTAGGAAAGTTTCATACTTAATCTCGCAAATAATATAAATGAACAAGTTTTCATTAGAAATCACCCGTGTAGACATGTTCCCCGGACGCTGATAACGTCAGTGTGACTAAAGTTATCAGCCTCCAGGTTTATATTGAGTTAAAATTGTTCCAATAATTCTGTGTTTTGGCATCTTCCTGCATTTTTACTTTAAAACCTGTATTGTGTTATTTAGCATTCTGAAAGTTTTACACATTAAATCTGTATACTAAATTCTTTTTAATGTTTCTATAATACAATCAGAGTGGTCCAAAAGTCCGAAAATTTCAAAAATTTGTGAAAAACAAATGAATGGATAAAATGGATTATGGTTAGCATGAAAATTCAGTGGAGAAAAGATAACACTTTGGGTAAGAGATAAATATTGCGTTTAACTTTTTGCCAATAGAGTATCTGTATTCTATCAATGATCACAGAATAACATTGATAAAGAAGATGAATAGCTTCTGCTGACAGCTAGCCTAGATAGTTATGGTATAAACAGTTTCTTACTTCTGAATAAATTGTTCTATTCTGGCTGTGGTCTGTTCTGCTAATCTAGTGTAGTGCCTTCTGCTTTTAAAAAATTTTAATTAAATATATATTTCTACCATAAAATAAGTTTACAGTTCATTTGTATATAAACCGCTATTTGTTAGATCCATGTGTTTGAATTTTAGACGTTTGCATTACCATATAACATGAGTATATGAGTAATATATTAAACTTTTTATTTTTAGACTTTTGGTGAAGAATTTATGAAAATAAAGCATGCTTTAGTTGCTGTAAAAGAATTGTTTAGTTCAAATTATGAATTATTTGAAAAAAAGTGGAATCAAGTAAGTTTCTTCAAAATTTGCTTATTTTAAAAAAAAAGTCCATCATGAAGAATTCATTGCTTAAAATTTACTTTTCTATTTTATAGAGGCATGCAGACGTGCTTAAAATGAAGCAAATGTATGAAGAAGTTTCTAAGTACTTACATCTGTGAGTGATTTAATTTTAAATGACAGTAGTGTCATTTTTAAAATTAAAAAAAAAATCTTCTATTATTTATAAGGCAATTGTATTGATGTAGCTATGCATATATACTATTATATATGATGCATATATACTATTATATTTGAATAACTACATTAATACAACTATATATTATATGATTAACAAGTAAAGGTCACCGACTTGCTCAGAATCTGCTTTGTTATAGCACTAGGACTTTAAAAGTAGTGTGCTCATAGAAGTCTAGCTATTTTTCACAAATAAGCTTTAAAAAAAATCTAGTTTAAACTGTAAGCAGCATATGTATTATTTGAGTTTATCGGACTGCTGTGTTTTTAATCATCTGATGATAACATAAAGGGCTTGTATTTGCCTGTGTATTACTACTTTGGATATGGACTCATTACCAAAGGCTACTGCTACAGCTTCAGTCGATCTTGTTGAAAAAAAGCACCTATTAAGGTTATTCACTCATTCCCATTCCCAAAGGGCTTAACAATTTGATGAATTCAAAAATAATATATCATAATTTATTTTGTTATGTATGAGGGCTACCTTCCAAGCGTTGCTTTTATTGCCCCCAATAACTATGAAGCATTTGGGAGAAACTGGTGAATCCAAAATTATACGCTTCTTTTAAAAAGTATATATAAAAAAAAAAAACCTTTTAATGAACATTAACTAGTGTCTAAACTATGAACTGGTGTCTAAATAGGAAATAAGTTTTCTAATTATGAATGTTAATATTTAAGAAATATCTAAAATGTTTCAAATTTCTTATGATTAATTTGTTTTTAAAAATCACGATCTAGGACATTGTACCATATTATAACTCTGCTATCATGTTGAATTGTCCCAGAAGTAGTCGAATGTTCAGGACTGCTAAATACTGGTAGTTCGACCCAGCTTTCAGCTTATGCAAATGAGCATTCTGCATGTTTGGTTTTCATGGTTTTCTCTATGTGTAACATAGATACAAGGCAATTTCCATTAGAAAATCATCCACAAAGGTATCCCTCCCCTTTAGGCAGATAGCCATCATGTGCTTTTGCCATACTGAACCTAACCAAACTGAAGAATTATTGTTTTTTAAGGTAATTATAGCAAAAAATTTCATCTAACTATGTTTCATATGTAGTTTTAAGTAGCATTCCCATTAAGACTTTATAATCAAAACTAGTATTAAGTTCTATTGCTAAGCAACCAGCCATTACACCATCATGGAAATTGAAACAAGGATTTTATTTAAATGGTACCAGCTATTTAACTTCATTGTTATTGAGGAGCTGGCTTCGTCACTGAAACTGGGTCTTCAATAACAAAGGTTTCTCCCTTTCTGTTGAAGCAAAGGAGATTTTCTTCCACAACATGACAGAAAAACAAATTTTGTCTGATTTTCAGGTGGCTTCGTTACTTTTGTAAGAAGAGTGATTATTTTTCATTAAATTCTGTAAATTTTTAACGTTAGGGAAAAGTTGAAATATATGAGAAATGAATGTTGTTATAGTTAAAGTGAATAATGTGAAACAACATGTGGTTTCTAGATTCAGCATTGTCATTGCTGTTAAACTTACATCATATTTATTTAAATATCTTGCTCACTTTTTTAGTGATTATATACTGGAGCTCAAAATTAAGAGAATGAACATGATTTTTAATCTCTCAAAAAATACTTCACAGAATTTAATGAAATTTGGTATGGATACAAAATGATATAAGAGCAGTTTTTACCATGCAACAATGAAAGTACCTGCAAATAATTATGAGTAATGCTCAAAACCTGAAATGTCCAAAACTGATGCTGCAAAATGGTGCCTAAAATAAGGCTAATAGTCTCTTAAATTGAGAGTGTTATAATTCTTAAAAGGATAATTGATGTATTTCTGTGGTAGCAGCAGTCACTCAGCCAAAACATTTCTTAGCCTTTGGATAGACCTTGAAAGAAAATTGCAGTCACTCTTTCAGATGCATCCTAGACATGCTCAGATGTGTTCAAGTGTGTAGACGTAACTGTCTGACAATATGGAAAGAAGCACTGTTATCTGTATAGAGGAGCTGAGAGCCAAGTATGTTCCAGAAAGTTCACTCATGGGGTTTTAAGAACTTTTCTCTGTATCTTTGAGCAGTTAGAAATATCTGTCAAGGTATATGGAGTGGTTTGCCGCCATCCAGCATGATACATGCAAAATCCATGGCACCACCATCATATTGTCCCCATTCCCTGATGTTTGAGGAAAGGTATCTTATCTCAGATTCTCGTCAGGTGAAGATATGTTGAGAATCAGTGTCTAATATAAATATAAACTTGTCAATGAAGACAACTGGGCTCAATGAAGTTGATTTCAAGGCTGAAGTTTTTTATACCATTCTAGATGCATTGTTATTTGCGAGGGAGTTTGCAGAATGCAAACATTCAGTCGTTTGGCCAAAAAAAATCTATTTCATATTGTTGAGAACTGCCGTAATTTCTGCCTACAATGGTGACACCTAGGACAGAACTAGAAAACTTTTGGACAGGTGTGCTTTGGCAGCCACTATGCATGGAAACATATGTGTATGAGTGTTGTAGATTAAGTCATATGTATATTCATAAATAAAATAGTTGGGTGTTCTGTAGCACATAAATCGTGATCATTTGATTCAAGTGTATTATTGGATACCATTTTCTAGACAGATTTCAAGAACCAGCTCTAATTACTTTATCATAGTAAACACAACAGCTCATAAATCCCAGATTGATTGATGATTTATATCAGAGGTAAGGCTTTCTTATTTGATATCTTTAATTATAGAACCAATCACACAGATAAAGCTTTGGAAAATGGTGATCGTTGAAACTAATGTTCCGATGGCAGCATAAATTTCACAAGAGAGTTTTTTGGGTATGCCAGTCATCTGTATGGTTGAAAATGGCAAATACTGATCTTCACTGGTCACCATAGCTCTTGAATGTCCTTGGCAGTCCTTTTGGATATTGTTCTGATCTCCTGAAATTTTGTCCTCGTGTTGCAGGTGACACTGAACATTATACTAAGCTCTTTTTCAACCAGAACTTGGCATTGTTCTACTTCCCATCAGCCAATGATCCTGCACTTGATTCTATCATCTAAGCTTTAGTGATTAGTTGTTCCACCTTAGTGCTAATAGAATTAAACAAATTTTTATCACAATCACTGTGATTATTACTCGTGTGTATGAATGAAGGAAGAACAGAGCAACAAATGACCATTTTTTATGCCTAAGCCTACCACACATACACTGCCATCTACATGTGCAGTTACAATGGTGTATTGGACACCACCGCCATTACATTTCTTTACTATATACTGTCCAGTTTGGGTTCAGCATACCTGCCAACATTTACGAATTTTTCGTAATTTTTACGAAAATGCTTTTGTTTTTTACGATTTTACGATCGTAATCCATTTTTTACGATTTTTTTCCTTTTTCAAGTCTTTTTGTTGAAATTTTAGAATTTTTTGCCAATTCAGCGATTTTCACCAATTGCATCGTGTTTTACTGCCAACTACGACTACTTCGAATCCAGTAACCTGCGGTTTCTCCCAACTCGCCGCTTAACCAGCCAATCCAATGCGCTGAACTTGTTTCCTCAAAGGTCAACTTTGTTAAAGAAGTTGAAGGGAAGAAGAAACAGTCCTCTATTAGCCGGGAGGAAAGGATTTTCTATCTTCTTTTGTCGGATTTGAACAAAGCATATTGTAGTTTTGTGTTAAGTAGCATTAAGATTTTTGAAAGTGTAAATACCCTTCTACAATCAACTTCGCCAAAATCTCCCCTGCTTATCCAAATTCTTAATGATCTTTTGAAAGAACTTTATACTAAGTTTGTAAAACCGTCCGTTGTGAAAAACAGTGTGTTGATTCGTGTTGCATATAATAGTTTGGCAAATCAAAAGGATGACAATGATCTTATAATTGGAAATCAAACCAGGGAACTTTTAAATTCTTTGAAAGATCATGAGAAAAAAGAATTTTTTCAATGTGTTAGAAAGTACTTTTCCTCAGCCTGTGATTACATTGTAAGGAAGTTTCCTTTGCAAAATGAAGTTCTTTTAAATGCTGAAGTGGCAAATTTGAAACAAATTGAAAATTCATCTTTTGAAAAGATTCATTATTTTATTGATAAATTTCCATTTTTGTTAACAATTAACCCTCTAAGCGGCAAGGCCGTATATATACGGCCTAGAATATTTATTGTGATATCTGTAAGAACGTATATATACGTGTATATTAAAATATGTCAACGAAATTAAGGCAATATATCAAAAGAAAACAAATCCATGTATGAAATACCAGTAGAATTTTTACATTAAAATAAAAAAAAGAATTTGTTCTCATAGTAGTTTTGGGAAATTTGTACTTTCTTAGCGAAACCCTTGGCCGCTCAGAGGGTTAAAGAAAATGAATGCCATAATGATGCTTTAGATGAACTACAGAACCAATTTTCTGCTGCACAGTTTGAAGACTTTGCCAGTTCTGGAGAAGTTAACTTGATGTCCTCATTGGTATCTTAAAAAGAATAAAAAGAGCTGATGGAACACCAAAATATGATAGACTAGCAAGAGTTTTATATGCTATTCTCGTAATTCCACACAGTAACGCTGAGTGCGAGAGAGTCTTCAGTGTTGTGAAGAAAAACAAAACTATGTTTCATTCTTCAATTTCAGCAAAAACTCTAGAAAACATTTTAATTGCTAAATGTTATGAGGAAACTAATTCTTATGGCAGGAAATTTTCCAAAGAATTTTTGGCTAAAGCCAAAAAATGCACTCTAAATTCATTGCAATAATTTTTTTGTGTAACATTAAGTTCTTGTTTTATGTTTGCTAATAATTTTTTAGTTACTACTTAATTGAGATTTACTAATGTAAGTGCAATTTTTTTTTTCTATTTGTATAAATTGTTATTTTTTTAATATCAAAGCATGATATTAATTCTTCGTGTTCTTCTGAATTTTGGAGAAATCTTCTGAATTTTTATCTTTAGAGGTTGGCAGGTATGGTTCAGTATTTTTTGAGAAATTCAAAGAAAATTATTTGTTCTCATAATTTCAGTACTTGTGCATGGATATATGAAATGTGTGATAAAAAGTAGATTTTGATAATGTGTGATTTCCAAAATATGTGCTTTAATGATCAGCAAATTTTATAGGTTATAATTAAAAAATTTTTTTATTATGTAAAATATACAAAAATTTAATTTTATAAAATAAATAAAAATGCTTGGTTTTCGGATTAAGCTAGAATTTGATAATGGGGGTGGAAGAAAAAAACTTATTAAAAAAGAATATTTTCAAATAGAAATTAAATTATTAATTGCCATTACACAGCCAACATACCGAGTGCTACTTCTGAAAAAGTACTTGCAAGATAATTATAAAGCTATATACTTTGGCATACTTTTAAACATAAACTTGAAATAGGGAAAGATTTTTCACATCATTTAAGAAAAATCTTATATTTTGTGAAAATATTAATTTATATTTGTTTGAACATGTGCTTTTGAAATATGAAAACGGAAAATTAAATTTTATGGATTTGCAAACTGTTGTTAAAGATTTATAACCCTCTCCTTATAGTGTTTTTATTTCAAGTTGATTTATTTTTATCTTTGAGCCCTTTCAAAATTTCACATAAATATGTATTAAATCTGTAAAATTAAATGGGATAGCTTTTTTTTACGAATTTCAAAAATGAATTTTTTTTCCTTAAATTAAATTTTTAAGGAACCTAATTCAAAAGATATTTAAATGTACCTAATTCAACCCAATTCAAAACAAATGCTTTGAAATTTAAAATCTTGCTTCTTTTTAAGAGGCTTGTATAGGAAATACAAGCTTAAAAATGAGAGCTTAAGGGGTAATATTAAACCATGTAATACAAGAAACTTAGCTTATTAGCAATTTGCAGTGTTAAAGAAAGGCTTTTCTTGTAGCATTTTTTATTAAATGCTCTCACTGATAAAACAATTATGTGAACTAAAAGTGGATTTAAAAATTTAAGTGGCCTGTTACTGTCTGTTTTAAGTCGTAAACACTCTCATTAGATCAAGTTTAGAGCTTTACTTATTTCAGCAATCGAGACTGTGTCATCAGTTTATTAATAACTAAAAACACCTGTAATGTTCCATAATAGGCCCTTAATAAAAACAAATTGTGAAATTTTAAACCTGAAAATGAAAAATATCCCTAGTTTAATGAACTTTTTGTAATTATTATTAGATTGATCCTAAAATAACAAAACTGCATGAAAATATTTACAACATATTTTTAATATCAGAAAATTTAGAAATTACTTGTGAAAATTCTTTTGTGATACCAAATATAACAATTATAAATGAAAGGAAGCTAAAGCATAAAAGACATTTAACAGAAAAAAAATTAACTGAGTTATTTTGATTAGCTTTTTATCAAACCTCTTGCAATAAGACTACAAAATCCAAAGTTTTAAATTAAACAGCTTGGTCAGTTTTTGTCCTGTGGGAGTGAAAATTTTTGTTTTTATTTTTTATAGTGAAAATAAAATTTCATTTTAACTATGAGGACTAGGAGACGATATCAAAATTAAGGTTTCATAATTTTTAGAAAATTAATTTTTAAAAGTGAAAAACATGAATAATTGCATCATTTTTGCACGTGAAAGTCTATGTTGAGGATGAACAGTTGCAAAAATAAAGGCTGCATATGGACTTTTGTAGACATGATCTATACACTAACTATATTTTTTGAATTTTATTTTCTGGTTTATAAAAATCAGCTGGTATAATTTTGACTTTCACATTCAAACTTCAAAACTCAGGAATTAAAATTTTTTATAAATATTTCATTATTTTATATACTGTCAAATATTTTAAAATATTAATGTGCCAACTTAGGCAAGTATCAAAAACATGTAATGTTTATTAATGTGCGAACTTGTGTGATTTCATTAAAAACATGTATTGTATTAAGTCCACATTTATTAATTCAGATTTAAAAAATTTATATGCCCTTTATAAAAATTTCAGGATTGGACATTTTATTGCATAAAATTTACTTTTGAAATGAAATTTGTTCAACAGTAGCTGTAGATAAGGTCCATGAAGATATGACTTGTGAATGCTTGTTTGTGTTATTAGCTGAGACAATATTGCTCTATTTATTGTAGTATTTTTAAAGGATGGATACTCAGTGTGATGAAGTCATTGTAAAAGAGAGAGAACTTTTAAGTTTCAAAACATGCTCCAAACAAAAATGAATTGTAATATGATGAAATGAGGCAGTCTAGATGCATCCACTAATATTTTTGAATGGCAATCTTGACTGCAAAGACAAGCATGCAGAATATGTGATTTGAACTTTGCATACTTTTATCCCAGAGACACAATTGAACAATGCAACATGAACTTTTTTCTTCCCTTTAATTTTGATAATATTCTACTATTTATCAAATAAAATTTACCTTATTTATATTTCATTTTGCAGAAATAAATATATTTTAAAAAATTTATATTTTTATTACTGTTATTTTTGGTATTAATTGTGGCTTTAGGGAACCATGGTAAATCTTGAAAATTTGCCATTTTTAGATCTAGTTCATATGCATATTTCATGTGTTTTGTTCCCAGTTAATGACTTACTCTGTTGTTGCTTTCTTTAATGTAGTAATTTAGGTTTATATCAGAATAAAATATTTTGGATCCATCAGATCTATCATAACAGTTATTTTTTGTGTAAAAGGGTAATTCAGAGTTTTTTTTTTTTAAGGTGTCACAGTGAAATCCCATCTATGCTGGATAAAATGAAGCAGAAAAGCACAGCAACACTAAACGATTTCCAAACAACTTTGTTAAACCAGACACAAAATGTATGATATTAAGTAGATTTGTTTATTGATGAAACTGATTATAACTCATTTGTATTCTTTCTTAAATTAAGTATTTTACATAGATGGAGAACTTGAAGAACATGTTAAATGATAAGCATGCAGAAATGGATAACCTTGCAAAAATATGTTTTGAAGAAAACAAAAAGGTATTGCATTTAATTTAGTAAAAAAAATTATAGTGTTCTTGTGTTTAATTTTTTTAGTGTCCCTAATAATTTAAATTTGCTATAAAAATTTTATAGTGTCAATAAGGATATTAGAGGGATAGCATGAACTTATCTGTTGGCAGTCAGTATAAAGCTGACATTAATAAATATTTCTATTTTAGTTGAACTGCTTTTAAGCTACAAAAAGCATTTTACATGAAAACTGTTGTAGGGCAGGTTTTCATTGTCATTAAACATGTATTTACTTAACTTCATCATTCTTTAGCCATGTATTTGTTAAGTGTTGGAAGCTTAGCAATTTTATTTGTTTTAGGAAATATGCAAGCAAGAAAATGAAGTGAAGAGAGTTTTGGCCTTTCAAGAGAGGAAAGCTATAAAATGCTTTGAAAATGTCCCCACAGTAGTCAAGGTAAATGTCATCAAATAGCATTTCATGGAGTATTTTCTTTAGGTGCTTTCAAAAATTCAATGGATTGCAAATCAAGAAGTTACACTTATTTGCAGTAAAAGCAATGGCGTTAATACACAGCTGTGATCCTATCCACTCCTTCCCCCCTCCCTCAAAAAAATCAACTTTTCACTGATGACGATTTTGCTTGCTTCTGGATTAATTATTAAGCAATATAAGCTTGCATATAGGGTTCTGAGGTGGAAGATAAAATTTTTATGAGATTTTCCTTTCACCGGATATGTATCATGGATACATAAATAAATCTATAGAAAAAAGGAGCATGCCACATGAAATATAGAAATAAGGAGGAAACATCCAAAATGTGGAGTTAAAGTGAGAAGCCCTAGATTAGAAGATTCTATATAGAAATTTTTATGAATGTTATATGAAATTTGCACTAATCTAATGGGGTTTTTTTTGTAATTATTATTTACTATTTTTTAAGAAGTGAGTGAATGACTAATCAAGTTGCGGATTAGCAGGCAGATCACTAAATTAGTAAAAAATTTGAAAAAAAAAGTATAAATGAATATGAGCCACTCTTTAATGTAAAAAATTTGTCTAACCTTAAAGCATACATTTATGTAAGAAATTTTATAAATGATGTATTTGCTAAAGTTTTCCCCTCTCCATCATTTAATTATCTTAGGTCTCTAATTTTCGCCCTTCTTTTGGTAATTAAGATGATACTGTGGTTGAATAATGCAAGTGATAAAACTGATGCTAAGTACACCATATAAAATAATAATATAAATTCTTTTTTTTTAATATACATTTGCTAGTTTCATTTCTGTAAAATCATATATTAATTTCCTGGACTTCTGGCAATTATCTGAACTTCAGTGTCTAAGAGTGACAGTCTTGAGTGAAATTAAATATATAGCAAATTAAATACTTTCATGCATTTAGAGAGGGCGTTGAATATCATGTGTAACCATTTGACTGTGTTCAATCCCAGGCAAATATGGTGGCTGTATAGTTGATTTTCATGGTGTCCTTATGTCTAATTTAAATATGAGCCAATTTCCTTTAGAAAGTCTGCCATGGGGCCATCGCTCCCTTTTGATGTATAGCCCTTGTGTGCTTTGTCATATTAAAATAACCTAATATTTTATGCATTTCTTGTTCAATTAATTTTTCACCCCACTAGTTGACTTCATGCATAGAAACCAATAACTAACACTGTATTGGATTATTTGAGTTACTCACACAAAGTCTGCCCACGACAAGGAATGCTTGTGTGGGGGAATCTCGAATCCACATTACATATGAAGAAAATGTGAAAACTTCCAAGAAGCCATCCCATTTGCCGGAAGTTGAAGGCTGAGTAAGAAAATTTACTGAAAGTTCTAAATTGCATCCTTGGTTTCAATTCCTGGGAATAGAAGGATTTGAATGCTTTGATGTTTATTCTTCAAAACCAATTTTCTTAAAAACTTTTTCAGAGTGTCCTCTTGTGGAAGTTCAGACTTTGAAAGCAGGCTGAATGTGAATCTTTGAGTTTTGTCAGAAGATACTGTAAGAGAAAAAATTTATTTTGTGTAATGTATTAAAAAAGTTCTTGAAAGAGGTTTCTGCAGAGTCATTTTCTCAAATATTGAGTCTGAACACATGCATCAAATATAAAATGATAAAGAATGCAGACAATTTTGTAGAAACAACTTCTGGCGAATAATTGAGACTTTTGTAAGTAGCAAAAAATGACATTTTATGTAGCCTCCCATGAGTAAAATATCCAATTAATATGATTCAGTATATTTTAATTAATCATAAGAAATGTTCCATAACTTTTCTAAAACATTCACAAAATTAGAATACCTTCTTTATAACTTTTTCATTTATGATTTAGAACACAGAGACTAAAGAATTCTTTTTTTTCTGAACAGACCCTTTCACCTTTTAAAAATAAACACACATTTGAGATCAGCTGTTTTCCAAGACTGGAGCACCTCTCTGGGGAAGAATATTCTGATAAAAATCATTCAAATGTGCTTTTTCTGAATTCTAGATAGAAAAGGATTTTTGCTTTTCATAATGGGCTCTTCAAATGCAGTTCTGCTTGTCATCTAACACAGAACTTCTTCCAATTATTTCGATTTTCAGACCTTCTGTTATGTGTATATATTTATGATGCCTTAAATTTTTAGTACAATTTATGATAGTCCCTTGCTGTTAACATTTCCTGAAATTCATTTAGGCTTTCCAAGATTATGCCGACTGCACATCTGCCTATTTTCCTTGCCTCATGAAAATTTTGACTATGGGATTATTTCATGAGATAACAAAAATACGTTATCTACACGAGTTTGTGTAAAAAATGAAAAGTTTTCAGAGTGTTATGAATGTGCTCATTTTTTATGATTTTAAATTACATACAACTGTTTTTGTGATAAGAACTTTATCATTCATAATATTTCAGATTTGTTTTAAATATATACAGTCAAAAGTCATTAATCCGGACTCGTAGGGCCTTCGGCGATTCCGGATTATCAATTTTTCCAGATTATAGATCATCAGTTTAAATCTCGTAAGATGGCATGCAGAAATTCTAAAATTAAAAATATGAAACCATAATTTATGAAATAAAGAACAATTATGATCTAAAGGGTATCAAAATTTACAAAAAAAAAGCTTAATATTTGTTTACTTTATTAAACATTTCTTTCAATGGAAGTTGTTTTAAGTTGCTTTGTTTTATGTGATAATACTTTCTCTTTAATTTTATAAACAGACATAATTTCTTGTTCAGTTACAAAGTTCCACTGTTCAAGTCCCGTAATTGGTGTACCGAGAATTCCGACTAACTTGTCAATCGAAATTTTTTCATTTTCACTAACCTCTCCGTACCTTCTTCATGTCATTACCTATTTTTTGCAGCAATTCCACTTTTTGTTTGATGGACATCGAAACATAGTTTCGTTTTGTAGATCGTTTGGGAGTTAGCATCAGAAATTCTATTTGACATAATCGAGAGTTCAAGTTTACTTTTATAAAATTGCTCTTACAGTCTGCAAAAAATAATAAGCCCGATCCAATTCAAAGATTAAGGAACAACGCAATCATCAACAATAACTGAAATAGAAAATTAGATAATTTTAGCTTATACCATCCGTTATACTTACGCACACGCACAAATGCCTATGCGCATGTGTAAATGCGGCACATGCGCAGAAAGTTTTTAGCTTTGAGGTCCGGATTATGGGTGTCCGAATTAACGACTTTTGACTGTATTAGCACCACAAAATGCATATATGTAAGACAGGGTTCGTACGGTCCTTAGGAGTCCTTAAAAGTCCGTAATTTTTTTGGAATCGATTTTTGGTCCTTAAAAGTCCTTAATTTTGGCCAAAATCAGTAGAAAGTCCTTAAATTTAATCATCTGAAATTTCTGTTTGTTTTTACGACTGCCATTTTGATTGTGAATTAGCATTTTAGAGGAATATGTTTGGTGATTCACTGACGTATATGGTTATCTTTTGAATGGGATCATGGGTATTAATTTGTTTCTATTTCTAATGCATAATGATGGGATACTTGGAGTTTGTAAGCAAAAGTGAAACATAAGCATTTTCGAAATTCATTGTTTGTCTAATAAAGAGCTCTTAAACACTTTTTTTCGCTTTTGGGCGATGTGAATTCTTTTATTAAACGGTTCTAAATTTGGCGACTTATCAAGATTTTGGCGAATTTTAAGAATCAGTTTCTTGTAGAAAATTTTTAATTCTTGAAATCTGAGAATTTTTCGACGATTTTTTTAAAACATCATAACTTTGATAAATTTTATGTTAATACATTGGAATTATATTTAAAAAATAACATTAAAATAAAACATTTTTTTTTCGCTTTCATCTTATAAAGTTTCATTTTGGAAAGGTATAATGCTATAAAGCATAATTTACAAAACATCTCTGAGCAAAAACAAAATTAACTGTGTAATTAATTAAAAATATCTTGTTTTTAATTTTTTCATAGTAAGCGTATTTCCCATGTAATTGTCTCAGAATATTCAAAATTCTCAGAATATGCATCAGTTTTCTCTATAAAATTATTTATGCACTTCCCCCCCCTTTTTTTTTTTCAAAATATTTCTGGCTTTTTGCTTTTACAGAATTGGTTGGGATAATTTTTCTGTAGTATTTTTGACATTGCAGCTTGAAAAATTTAGAAAGATTTGAAGACAAGATTTATAGACACACAATTCTAGAAAATTCGATAAATATGTGACAAAATGAAAAATGTCTCCATGGTATCAACGCGTAATGGATGTATTTTACTGAAAGTTTCCAATGAATTTCTTACTTTTTGGAGAACGTCTGGAAGAACAATGAAGACATAATATTTGAATGTTTTACTCCTGATACTAGAATCTTTTTCTCAACATGTTTATCTTCCCTTTATTTTCTCTACTTTTCACTAGACACAAGCATGGAAAATATCAAAAGTGCTTCTAATCTTATCTATTATAGGCATTATAGAAAGGGTTTTTTTTATTAATAAAGAAATTGAAAACTTACAATTTAAAAGATCCATCTAATATGTCTTAATGCATCATACACAGAGCTGGCACAAAGCATTTTCCCATGTAATGCAGTCTCTGTGGATCCTAAATTCGACTGCATACTGCCTTTCTAAATTCTGCTTCCAATGCCTGTCTAAATTCTAAACGTTTTGCCATTTCTAGATTTTGTTGTTTGGTGTGTTACTAAATTCTAAAAATTCTGCCACACCAGCTCTGTAACTGGCCTTTACAAGATATATTTCATGTTTCTTCTGAAATCCATATTACTAAAGAAATTAAATTAGTCACTATTTCTATACATTCTAAATGCATTTAGTGTTTTTTAGAAAAACAGAATCAGAAATCCTTAATTAAATCCAAAAATTCTAAAATGAAAAGGAAACATGCTGAAGAAAGGAACTGAATACATAAAGAAAAATATTCTTTAAAGATATATGCA